ACATACAAAATAACTGATGAAACTAAATTATAAATATAACAGTAAATCACATGCTTGCTGTGATTTTAAATTACATAGACACATATACAGCAGTGTCTTTTTTATCTTTTGGAGAGTAGATTCAGTTTCTTAAATAATTTTCCCCAGTGAATGATAAAAATAGTAAAGTATATTTAAGTCTATTACTAAACATATATGAATTTATGCACTATTAACTTTGTAGTAATCAATAGATTAACAATACCTGTTATCATTGATAGCACTACTGTATTTAAGAATTCAACTTATAAAATTAAATTATATTTTGAAAGACATCAGAGTGTAACATTAAGATATTTTAAAATGTGGCAGTTCAAAAAAATCTAATTTTTCTCATATTTTCAAATTTTCTATCAGCATTGGTTTTTTATTACAGTGATTGTTTCTGGAAGTTTAAAAACATGATGCAAATTTATAATATCATCTTCTCTTTCCTCAACTCTCACTGTGTGCAGGGCCCTGTATATTTCCTTGAAGATGGGAAATCCACTATCTCATTGAATGATGCTTTGATGTGGGCAAAGGTGAATCCATTCTCACCTTTAGGGACTGGAATACGACTCAACCCATTTTGATAGAGGTTTTTCTCCATGCTTAATTGTTTTTTTAAAAAAGACCTTTTGTGGGTTAGTATTAACTTTAGCTTTGTTGTCCAAGAGCCAAAGGTTGGGAGGAGGAGGAGGTGGGGAATGACGGTTGGCTTTGTTCGTTAACTTCAAAAAATAAAATATTTATATATTTTTCAGGAAAAATAGATGTCTCCTTTATAAAATAGTCGTATTTGGAAAGATGGTAATATTTAAATTATAAAGGAGTAAATAATGTAAAATAACATATAAAACTTTTACAAAGCATAAAAGATACCCAAATATTATATTGTTGAAACATTGAAACGTATAAAATAGTACAACGCTTAGAAAAGTACTTGACATACAGTAAGTACTTAATATTTGAATGACCGAATATCTCAAAATGTTGAACTGGAAGGTATATACGACTGATCGAGTTAACACTTATATTGTCCTCTATTTAATGTATAGTAAACCACTAGTATTAACTCATATTTAATGAAAATTTTCAGTTATAAGTTTAAAATATATCAATAAATGCATACATAGTCAAAATACTTTTGAGTTTTATTTTTTAAAAATAAAACATTACTAAGGTTTCTATCTGAAATTCAAACATCCAATTATAAAGAAATAGGTTAAAATGAGCATAAATACATTGGGGTTGAAAAAGCAAAATGCAGTCAAATCTGTATGAGAATTTGTATCTGATGATAATTGACTATTTTAAATGATATTTGTTATGTAAAGACATTTGATTAATGCACTTAATATTTTCATAATCTCTAATCAGTTTTTATTAACTCTAACTCATCATTTATTTGATAAAAACTGTTTGAAATAAATTTCTGTAAGTAGATATTAGTTGAAATTTTGGGTATATTATGCAAATTCAAGTTTTTAAAATATTTATTAAAAGAGTAAAGCTATTAAAAAAGCCTGAGGCATGACTACAAGTATTTTAATTATCCTAGAATTCTGACTTTGAAATTTATGAAATTAATGCATACTAGGAAGAATAGTACTTTGATACTCAAGTTGTTTTATAGGATTTATAATATAGATGTTTTTGTCTAACTAAAGAGTAAGCTCATATAACTAGAATAATTATGGTTTTTATTACCTTTAAACTTGTTGTATGTAAAATATTTTAAAATTTTTCTTAAACAGGCTTCTTAAAACAGAAACCAATATACATTATGTACCTATCTATCACATTCACCACTTCTAACTCCTCAAGAAGATATAGGCTTAAATTCCATTTTATAAAATAATAATTAATATTATAGAAGAGAATATATGTAACTCAGAGATGCAGTGGGTCATATAAAATGTGTCTAAGAATTTTTTTAACCCTTAGTGATATGTGTAACCCAAATACTTTTAGGTGGGGAGGATTATTAATTGGCATATATGTACTAAAATTTTCTTACTTAAAAATGGCAGTCTAAATACTACTATCATTCTCTTTATTTTGTCTTAAATAGATTCAGAAGTCTCTTATGTGCTTTAAATAATTCAAAAAATATGAGTTTAAATTATATATAAATAATTGTTACCTTCTGTATTTTTAATGGATGCAGGAAAATAAAATATTTTTATGTATAAAATGTGAAAAAATCATGACTCTAGCACATGAAGACAACAGAGAGTAACCCAGTTGTTGTCTGAAATCTAAATCTGATTGATTCAAGTGCAACTCTGTTATTCTTTGCCATCTATGATATCGTATATCTTAATTTTAACTGTTAATTTTTTGTAGAATTATGTCATTCGACTATGCCAATCTGTATATATTGTGCCTTAATATGAAAAACGAAGCATTTTTTAAAATGTATAAAAGTATTTTTCATTATTAGATTTCATATGCATGAAATAATATGAAGTTATTTTCGTAACTGAAGATGTCCATATAACCAGGAATGCAGACAAATTATATTTTGCAAGTTTAAATCTGCCTTTATGAAAGAGGTCTCATTAGACAATGATTTACAAGCATTGGAAAAATATTTTGCCATAAAAATTACCAGCTGGTGAACAAAATTGCAATATCAAAATCAGCTACATCTCGTAAAAATTTATGATGATTATGTCAATCAAAATTAATGAAATATATATATGTATTTCCACAAAGTCATCCAGATGTGTTCAGGAACATGGTTGCATTAGAGCAATGACTCCATTTTGTCCTTATAATAGGAAAATTAACACTTTTTTGGTTTTAAGTTTAAAGGTATTCTGAACATAGTAAAAAGCCTCACAAATTACTTGTAAAATTTGGGATTTCATATTAGTATACTAGTAATACAGAAGATATATTTATAGTCGATTCTTAGTAAATGTTTACTGTACCATATCTTTGAAACATTTGTACCTAAATAATTGAAAAAAGTACTTTCATGCTGAATTTAAATACCGTATGACTGTGCTATAATATGGCATGTAGTTGTCTAGATTTTCATGTATTTTTGTACGTCAGATCCCCTAAATTTTAATAAATACCGCAATTAAAGCCAGATATGACATAGCAGATATTACTTAGCAGTTAACTGCTAAGATAAGTGTCTGTCTTGTCCTTAAAACTATCATTGAGAGAACACTATTTCCCCATAAATGCTGGGTCGGTGTCATCAAAGGTGTGAAGTGCTGAGCTGCCCATCTGGATTATTACCCTACTTGGAAACATAGAAAAGTCACTTCATTGGGTGGTTCAGGGGAAAGATTCTCCATTTGTGAGAAACATTGACTACAATAAACCCCAAAATTATAAAAGAGAAATAAGGCTTACTAGTGAATAAAAACAGAGTATCACAGAGGCTTCCATTCCCATGATAAGCATTCTGCCAACTGATTGAAAAGGTTTTTCTTCCTATAGGGGCTGCTGTAGCTCCTAGAAAAGTTCATTGCTTCCTTCTGACAGAGATCCCTGGTGAAGAGAACGGCCTTCGTGTGGTTCGCCTGTAGTGCTAGCTTCTGTTGACACAACTCATCCTCTGGGAAGTTCTTGAAATTACCTACTTTGACCAGACATGCTACCTTCATTTATTTATTTACTATGGAATGAAGCTTACAGACCATTTCATATTTTTCATAGCTCTCTATAGATCCCACAGGAGTCTAGGAAATTTAACATAGTCCAAGAGGGATTAGCTTTTTCAGGAGATTGAACACAGAATCAAGAGAATAAAGAAACATATTATTTGACTGTCTACTCAAATCTAATCCTTTTCTCAGGATCTTTTCCCAAGCTGAGCTTCAGAAGACTTGTTTCTAAAAGACGCTTTCCTAAGGAACTGTATTTTATGAGTTAAAAATTATTCCCATAATTTTATATTTGTTTGTCCTATTAGAATGCAAGGCAGCAGGTCAATAACCGATAGCTGGTTAAGATATTCATTTGAAATAAATTCTTAACCTCAGATAAAATCAGATTCTAAATACATTTCTAAGAAGTCATCTATTTCACCAGGGCTCTCTTTAATTTCTTTTACTAAATATGAGCTACGCAAAAATTAAACAAGAATGTCTTTGGATGTAGAAATTCTAATAAAACTGCCTAAGCCTTCAAAGATGCAGAAAAACTGATAGTTTAGCTGGAAACTGACAAATATGTCACAGGATTCACTGTTAGCAATAGTCATCTTGGAATTCAAAGGAAACAGTGAGATGGCATGAAAACATGAGTTATTCTAGTTGAAGAAGATTTTCCAAATATGAATATAAAATTACCGAAAATATATGAAAGATAAGCAGTCTTTCAGGATATCAACCTGCTTTTGTTTCCCTTCAATAAAAATATGGGGCATGACAGCAACCAGTAGGAATTTTTTAATTGAATTAAATGGATTGCTAAACACTAAAACCAATTTCCAAGTAAAGCATGACTTTCCTTCTCCACAACTCAATATCAATGGGAAGGACACCTATTTTTAAAAACTGGTTTAAATAAGGCTATTTATGATGGTGGGCAAGATTTTCTATGGGCCAATGTATAATAATAATCATTCAGAATAAATTTGTATTAATTAGTGTGATATGTAAATATGTAGTATCAGGCAAATTAGTAGCTCTTTTCATTACTAATGAGGAAAACATTACAAAGTAGATTCACCACTCCTACAAATTTTGTGAGAAAGAACTCATCATGGTGAAATAACTATACCTTTAAAATTATTTTTGCTCCTCCTGTACTAATTAATTTGATTTCGTAGTTTCAACATTACCTGGCACAGGTGTTTTAAATAAATAGTTGTTGACTGGAAATGAAAAAAACATGTTCTTCAATGCAATTATGGATAAGAAACCACTTTAATTTACTTATTATTGAAATATATCCCAAACTAGGTGATTCTATCCCTTTAGTATAAGGCAAGAGATGGTGGCATCACTTCTTCAAAGCCTGGTGCTTTTCAAGGTCACTTTTCCATCTTTGAGAGGTTTTGTAGCAGATTCAAAAGGTGTTCCAGCTTGCTTCACATGAATTGTTTTAAGTGAATTGCCACCATTACCTGTATTTGCTGGAATATTTAAATAAAATTAAAATCAATGTGTGGTTATTAAATATTTATACAACCATCAATGTTTCCAGTACATCAAACAAATGCACAATGATTGGCAACAGGTTGAGCACAGGTTAATCGAAAGCCTGGTAAACAAAATATTTAAAGCACACATTATAGTAGTCATAAATAAATCTGAATGTCACCCACCTCCAAGTCATCAGCAGTGACTAAAAATAACCAGGGCTTATTTTGGAGCATCTGATACTGAATATGACTCAACTATTTTTAAATGTTGCTTCAGAAAGCAGCTGAGGCAACAGTGCTACAATTTTAATAGTGCTTAGATTTGGCACATACACATAATTCATACGTCAGTTTCTGGAACTCTGATGTACTGAAGCATGCATGCTGGCCACCCAGGCCCGTTAAGTCACTCATTTCTAAAGTGAGGGGCTAGTGGCAACTAAGAAATCTATATTCTCTTGGCCTGCTATTTTGCTAACACTAGATTTAGGTAAACTGAGGAATTTAAGTATAAAAAAAAGAAAAAAACAAAGATAACCTGTATTACAACTAATTTTCACCACCTCATTTGATAATTAGAAGCTTTTCAGATGAACAGCCTGTGTTTCCGTGCTATTAAGTGCAATCTTAGATGGTAAAACAGGGTTCATTTCCTACTGTCTGATGCCTTTGGCTCTTTCTCTTCTGTTCACTCTGATGTTCACTTACCTTAACTAATTACTCTTTTATTGGGAATAACTGAAATGGAATCCCATTAACAAATTTGGGAGGGAAAGTAACTTAAAGCTTAGCAAAATAGTCCTCATCTGTGTAATTGCCAAAGTCAAATTCACAGCATTTATTCCTGTTATGCACAGATTGAGAGAATCCAAGTGTCTGGAACAGGATCGAGAGAAGTAAAAAGATAAAAGCATGTTCTTTCCCATCCTGATCCAGCGAAGACCCCCATAAGCTTGTCATCCATCTTGAAAAGGAGAGAAAAAGACCACTAAAGTTGAGATGGAATTGTAAAAGAGAATAGAGAACAAAATGGGAGGTGTTATTTATAATAGCTGCATTATTAAAATTGTAAAAGTATAATCCATTCTATGTGGTTTGATCTGGAATGATGACAGCATATAGTTTTTCTAAAACTCATAAGTAAACCTTGAAAGTTTTTCGAAAAGATAACAAATGATAACAAATGAGGAATTCAAATATCAGTAGGCATCATTTTTATATACGGTGCTTTGCATCTGTTCCTCGCATAGGAAGGAAGCTCTGCTACTTCTACTTCTACCTTTACTTTATAGGTCCCAAAGCAAGTGGTCATATCAGTTAGTCTTAAGGTCCAGTTAGCCATAA